ACGAAATAAGAACAGAAAAGGAAGCACTGATGTATTTCTGTACTTTTTAATTGAATATGATCAGGTGATCCGTCTGCTCGTTTGCCCCCTGTCACATAAAAAAACGCGTATTTCTATAATTATAAAAAATGTAAAGGGATGATACATTAGCAAAAGTACCATGATCTTGCAACCATGCAGTGTTTTAGAGTAAGGTTCACCTGATGATGCATGTCATAATATTAATGCTGTTATATGATAAGAAGAAATAAAGTACGGGGCTCTAATAAAAAGATCCGAAAGTTGACCTCATAGACCTTGTTGAAAATGAGGACTACCTACGTATATTGGACTACAAATAGTATATTAACTAGCTATGAAAGCATCAATTACTAACGAAGACTAAACAATGTTTAACTGCTCCGACTCTAATTTGTAAAACCGTATTGATTTCGTAGTAGCGCACGGCTCGTAGTCCGTAGCATTACTATGCTCGTAGCGTCGCAATTCGTCCGCCTTCATAGGATAAATTTTCCGAAACTTGCGTATAAAATCGAACGGATTGTACACATTTGGCAAAGAGCCGGGGTGAAATCTTTATTTCATTGACGACAAAGTATACAATTTAGGTAGTTTAATTAATCTAATTAATTATAAAAAATCTGTTCAGCGAAAAAACACATGGAAGTGTTCTGACAAAGATTTACAATTTATTGAAATCCATAATCGTGGTTAAAAACGACGATTAATGTCAGGCCTTACCATCAGGTGAGATACAGGCCAAGAGCTTTCTCGTTGTGGATTAAAAAAAAAACTCAAGCTTATAATAAATTTATTTATTTATTTTACTTTGTGAGGATATTTTTGTTCGATTTTAACGTAGAAACTATGGACAATTTTTAACTACATAAACTTATTTCATCAGGTAGATTTTATAGTTTCAACTATGATACTGTTTGTGTAGGTTACAATTAAGACACTGGCTTTAATATTAAATGGTTTCAAGTTCACTTTTCCGAACTGAGGGCTTAGTGTGAGTTTACATTAAATGTCGTCACTAGCGAGCGCGTTAGAAATACATGAAAATTATTCTTCAAAGTTTCCGCTAGGGGCGCTGTACGATCCGTCATACATTTAGGCTGAGTTGCACTACCTAACTTTGACCGTAACTATGACGATAACCGGTGCTTTTTGTATGGAGTTTGACAGATTTTGACGTTTGTCAAAGTTAAAATAAGATGGTGAACCCAGCCTTAATGTCACTTTTTAACGCAATCGACATCGAATGCGTTTAACGTAAACTCACTACGCCCCGTGACCGGGCGTCCGTAGCTCTACATAATGCAGTGAAATTTCATCTCTGCAACGGATAATGTGATAAGTGCTAGATTTAACAAGCACATCGGTTTAGTGCTAAGTGTGCCGGCTAATGAAGCATAGCTAATTGGCCTGTTCATTAACAACTCTAATCTGGTTTGTATCTAGCTGAGTTTTCTGCTAACTAAATTGCGGTGGACGCTTTGTTTGAAAGAAATGTCTGACCGGTTTTTATTGTTTATTATTGGTGACTGTTTTTGTTATTGGCATAGACATTTTAAATGTATCTGCTATTGTACATCGAATGAAAGGATAATATGCTACTGTACAAATCTCGCAATAAAGTTGGGTGTAAAGTTGATAATCGCGAAGTTTTCGAAGTAAAAGTTACGAGATTGGCTGCTTTTTATAAAAGTGAGCGTTTGAAAACAAAAGAAGTTTTCATTACGGTAAAGTCAGCGTCAGTTGACAACACAACCAAAGACGTGTTATACATATAAAACGTATCTCTCCATGGAACTCATAAGTAAATTTATGCATCCATAATCCATATGTCGTCAGTCACTGAGAGTCAGTGAAAATGCACTAACTTTTTACAAATAGGTACCTAAGCTATGCTTTCTTTCACACTAATAATAACTTGTCTTATCTACGACTACGAATCATATCTTAATATCTACAGTGTCTTTATTGAAACCTTTTTTGTCTAAACCCCCAGCAGTTTCTAATTGATCTTAATTAGCCAATTCAAGCCTCTTTTCTTTTCCATCCATATTCTTTCCAACCAGCTTCTCATAGCGGACAAATTATTTGAATTTAGCTCATACAATTGCAGCCTACAAGAGCAGCTAAATGAGGGCTTTCAAGCCGGCGGACCTAGGGTTGCCAGGTGACCGGTTTTAGCCGGACATGTTTGGCTTTTTAGGGACGTGTCCGGCCAAATATTTTCTCGTCCGGCCTGTCCGGCTTTTGTTGGGCTTTTTATGTGGCTGCAGGGCCTTATTTGCTAATATACCTAATGTAGGATTATTAACCCATTAGAAAATTCAGCATATCTTATGTACGCCGTGAATGTCCAGCTTTGAGGGTAAAATTTCCGGCCAAATTACACGCCAAGTCCGGCTTTTGTTTTTTTGGACCTGGCAACCCTAGGCGGGCCGCTAACTCGCCGGGTAATGGAATTAATACTTGCAGCTAGCCGTGAAAGCCTGTCCAGGATTTAATTACCCACGTAAATTGAGTTCTACCCTTGAGGAAATTTAACATTGAACAATAATATTGTCCCTAGTGATCGGGCAGATGATGTCTGCTCCTATCATACATTGGCCACTTTGATATCGTTGATTTTATAGTGAATATGTTTAATATTATTAGGTTTTACATTAGTTATTTACCACCACCATTTAACATTATTTAATTATTTACTGCTCACACAAGTCATTGTTAAGCACATAGTGCACATAATGATTAAACTAGTCTTAAAGATCAGAGGTGAGAGTGCTTTTTAAAAGTAATGTACGGCACCAGCAGATATCGATTTATTACATAACCGAAACCAATAATTCCATAAATCAAATTAATGTAACAAAGAAATATGCCTATGCCAGAAATAATGATCTAGGTCACAAATATCACAGTCCCTGAACCGAGAGAACGTCCGTCACAGCCAAGCGCTCGAGCAAAGTGTCGCGGTGCGCGGGGCGGCCGGTTTCTCGTGCCTTCCCTCTCTAAGACAGAGACAACAGGATCGAACGATATGACGTCACGCTGACGTAGCGGGTGTTATTTCTAAGACGGCCGTTCCTGATCGTGCGGCGTCCTCGACCGCTGCCTGCTCCCCATCAGCCACGGCTTCTTCCGCGCGCAGCATAACCTCCCCGACGTTTGAAAACTGATCTGCGCAGCTCGGACCCGCCAAAGGCTGGTCATCGCAGCCCTGGTCCGCAGGAAGCTGATTCTCGGAGCCCTGAGGTGCAGCTTGAGGCTGACCCTCACCAGGTTGGTTCATCCATGTTCGGTTCCATGGTTATCATCTGGAATGTCAGTGGTATATGTTCAATGTATGACAGTTACAAGGAACCAAAGTGAAACCGTCGTTTCTTGAAGTTAAAATTCACAAATGTTAGTCGATTCCATGGTAATCATCTGGAATGTCAGTGGTGTAAGTTCAATGTATGACAGTTTACAAGGAACCAAAGTGAAACCGTCGTTTCTTGAAGTTAAAATTCACAAATGTTAGAAAGATCACAGCCTTTTAGCACAATCCCATGCGTGCACTCATGTGATTGCGATAAGAGACCCAAACTGACGTTCAAATTAACTAAACTCAGATAGTGAATAATAAAATAAAAACAATTAGTGAAAGAAAATTACTAGTCCTACGAATAATAGCTCCGGNCAATCTTACGGTGACATATCTATAAAACTAAAATCCAACTACGACAAAAAACGACGCTGAAAAAGTATAAAACAAGATTTTCAGAATACTGAACTGAACAAAGTTGCTAATGTAGTTGCATAGTAATTTTCATGTTTGGAAAACCGCAGTCACACGTTGTCAAAGTGCTAAGGTAGGTAGGTTTAAGCAACGTAACCCTCCTTTTGCTTTGCCGTAGTCGGGTAAAAAGCGAAAGGTCACTGACTGACTCACTCACTCATTACGAAATCTCAGAAACTACAAGTGCTAGGAGTCTCGAATTTTGCATGGGGGTCCTTTTAGAACGTCGCGTAGGTGCTCACTAAGAACGGATTTTACGAAACTCCACCCCTCTAAGAGGGTAAAACGGGATCCACGTGTACGAAGTCGCGAGCGGCCGCTAGTAACTGGAATATAGCTAAGGGACGAGAGACCGAGAGAGAGAGATGAAATATGAGAAAGGATGCGCGACACGATACTGTTATCGTGGCATTTTATCGATTTTAGACGACAAGCTGGATGGAAGGCGCTGGATGCAGGCCGCTACCAACCGTGCGATGTGGAAGTCATTGGGGTAGGCCTATGTTCAGCAGTGGACGTCCTGTGGCTGAAATGATGATGATGATGAGGCGCTAAGCCCTTGCCACAACCCATGCATTTGTTTAAATTCGTTGAAATACTTTGTTAAAGTATTTAGCTTATTGTGCCATCTGTACAATGTTATCAAGTTAGCATTGTTTTGAAATCAATTATTTACTTAAATAACATCTGGAAATTAAACCTAACATAACAAAGGCCACTGAAACAAATTATGTAAATTAATTGGTATAACTGAAATCCGAGTAGTGAAAAATACTGTTATTATGGTACAATAAATTAATATAACTTCATACTAAGTATGTATCACTGAAATTGAGATTCTAATTTAGGTCAATGGCTTCCGCACAAGATAAATGCGATTGCGACAATGTGTTCGTATCTAAATTGATGGCGGTATTTTACATAGTTGCTATGGGCTGCTAAGTAATGAGGTCTGATCAATTAGTTAATGGTATCACGCGAAGTTTTATTGTCGTATTGTCGGCTATTGACCTTATGTGCTCGTAAATGAAGCAATTTAGGACTGTGATTTATACAGTTTCAATATTCAAAACAATCACAGGATTAAATGTATTCTTCTACAAGCATGAAGCCATGTTTTATCTTAAAGTACCTATTTACTTCAAGAGTAATACTACTAAAAGAGCACTGCCTGTCCCTGGAAGAGAGATCTTTCTTGCTATTAGACCTAACTAGAGCGGAAATTATAGTAGTTTTGTGTGATGTGCATGAAAGAGTATCTATCTACTAATGTTGAAGTAATTTGACGAAAAGAACTACTCACAGTGGAATTCTGAAGGTGCATTATAAACTGGTCCAGCTGCTGTAACAGTCGCGACCTCGTCGTCCTGTCGTTGGACGCGAACAGCTTAATTACGCATGGCACAATTTGTTTCTGATAGTCAGCGTCGTCTAGCAGTTTTCCTAACTGAAATAAAAACTATAATTAGTATATCTATGTTCTAATAAGAAACGAATCCTTAGTGAGTTAATCGACACACATGGCTGGCTTTTCCTGACACTTGCAGCTTTCATTAGTCTCTATGTCTGGTAAGCAGACAGTAGTTGTCTCCATAAAACGCAGAATTTGTCAGATTCTAAATGACAAAAAAGTCTGTTACATTGCTGCTATTCATTATTAAAACGCGTTAAACGTAATGCTTAAATTAATTTAAACGTAAATGCTGCAAACATACCTTAAACATAGGCGCCAAAACGGCCGAACCAGCATCCCCATAGTTGAATGCTGTCAGCAAAGATGGCAAGATTTTGTGTACACACACAGCTTCTGGGAAATTATCCAATTGGGATGTTAAAGTTGAAAAGAATTTCCCTTTCTCTGCCTTATCTTTGATTTGAATTTCTTCTAAGAACAGCATTGAATCAATCAAGTCATTTTTGAAATAGCCTCCCATTTTGCGACATCTACAAGAAAACCATATTTTCATCATACCTTACTGATGATTCACAGAGAGAAAATGACGATTAGGTAAAAGTTAGATAAGATCAATAGATAAGTCTGATTTAGAGCATTAAAATTATATACCTAGTTGCTAGTCTAGTAATGCACATACCAGATGCAGATGGAGATTTAATCTCACAAGGTGATAATTTTGAGTGGTAAAAACAATAAAAAACATCCAGTCATGGCTGTTTATAATATACATATTCATGTCTGTTAAGTTAGTGTTTACATAAGTTTCTGTAGTGAAATATTTGCTTAATTTGAAACTAGAGAGGTAGGTAATAACCTGTAATATTACCTGGTAATAATGTCAGCTGGATTCGGTCTAGAGGCTGGGTTAGCACTGACTAGCTCGCAGTACAATGTGCCTAGCTGTTTGGGGATGTTATCAACAGTCTTGAGCGCTGGTTGATTCTTTAATGGTCCATTGAAGGCTTCCCATATTAGGCACCCTAAGCCCCACATGTCTGAAGAACTTAAAAAGTAGGAAATAGTGTTTATTACAATTATTCTGGTATTAAATATACTTCATGAGAGCTCAGGTTACAATATTTTTATAGGTTACTCAGTAACCATTACTGAAATAAGGTGTTTGTAAGATTACAAGTCTATTTGACTGCTGCAACAAACACTATAAATATAGAAATGCAAGTAATTACCATTTTCAATAGTGTTTGTTGGCGCAATCATATTGAGGAGTTAACTTTTACGAGTTTATAACACCATACAACTTACCACTTAGTGATTGCCTTCAATTTGGTTGGATCCTTCTTCTCTGGAGGATCATATATTTCTAGAGATGGCATTATTTTTAACGGTATCGGATTGGAGCCTTCCTGGCCCTGTGACGTCAGATACTCAAAGCCCCCTAGTTTCCACTCACCGGCCAGTGTGACGAACACTGAGTATAAGCATACATTGTTGTGCCTCATGTTGCCATCGTTGTTGAGAAATGACAATGCTCTCTGCAAAGAAAAAAATAATTAGTTTAAAGTAGAAATGAATAAAGTGAGTGTGATTAAATTCAAAAGAAGAGACAAAAGAAATTTCTGGTATTACAAAAATGAATTGATAAGAAACTACATCCTGTTGGTTGTTGGCTAAAGTGTGTGAATGTACAGGTTTTGGTTTTCATACCATTGATGGAGGGAATTTTGTTTATGTTTTTTTCAATTCACACAATAGCCCCATAAAGCAGGAGTTATACTTGCTAGTAATAAATAGAAGTAATAGAACAATACTTACAGTAATTTGAAAAATACCCCACGCTAGGAATAACTCTCTTTGTTGGCCTTGTAATTTCATATCCTCTATATGAGTGGCTAAAGGCTCTACATATTCTGTAGCTACATATAAAAATTTCTCAGATTCAACACTATCTAAATAATGTAAAAGGCTAGGGTGTCTCATAGTCTTTAGTTTTTTAAGAGAGGCCTTAGCTATGTCAAATTGCGTCTCCGAACTTTTCTGAACATCGAACAAGAATATTGACACCTCCTCCTGAGTGCTTCTCTTTTTACCCTTGTGCATTGACCATACTGATCTATCTTCTAAGCCACGTACAGGTTCTCCGATGTCGAAAGCGAAATCCTTTGCAGGATCTCTTGAGAAAAACGACCACATTCTGCACTTGATCTACGTACTAATTATTTAAAACTTGCGTGTATAGAAGTTGCATATCTACGCATCAATACACTATAAAAGAAACGTGCTATGTCATATTTTGAACGGAAGATGTAGAAATAAATGAAATTTATTATTCCTTTCTACGTCTAAAACCAAAAATTAAATTTATTTCCATCCACAAAAAATATGATGACAAAACTCGATGACAGTCTGTTTGACGTTTGTTTTTTTCCAAGAGGCTAGTTGGATTGTAACGTGATTGCAACGGATGGTTTTGCCAGGTTTTTTTTCTAGTCTTTGATAGTATGACATCGAGATTACAATAAAGGAGACACTATCATTCACATCATGTTTTTGGTAAAGGCAAAAAACCTATAACGTCTCCATTTTGCATGAAACTCATCTGTGATTGTGATCAAATCAAAAAAAAGTCGATTTTGGCTGTATGGCGAATGCCTTTGCCTTTTCCTGCAAGAGGAAAGAACGAAAACAAAAAAAAAAAAAAGTCGATTTTTATTGTCAATGTCAAATTGCACAAATTTTTAGGTTAGAAGTTTTTTGGAAAGAAAATTACCAAAACAAAGGGTTTTATTATCAATACATCGAAGTAAACTAAAGAATTCGATATGTCTAAATCAGTGGCTCGACTTAAATCTATGAAAAAAGTAGCAGATAAGGTAGACCATTCGTCCAAACTACGAACCCATATTCCAGCAGGAATGGCTGCTGCTGGTCCTCCTTTGGGTCCAATGCTGGGACAGGTGAGTTCTCTATTGAGTTGTTACATAATTCAACCTAGTTTCACTCATAAAATCCGGTCTCGAGTAGTCTAATAAATCTTGGTCATAAAAATAAATTCAGTTAAGGTGTTTTTACCTAATGTTTTTACGATTTCTAGAGGAATATCAACATCGCTGCGTTCTGCAAAGACTTCAACGAGCGTACAGCTAACATCAAGCCTGGCATACCATTACCAACAAGAGTGAAAGTTAACTCGGACCGATCTTATCAGCTCACTATTCATCAACCTCCAGCTTCATACTTCCTACTGCAGGCCGCTGGAGTTAATAGAGGAGCTATGGAGCCTGGTAAGTGAAAGTACTTTTAATTTGTGGTTGCACTAAGGTAAAATACAACATCATGATTGTAAACAGTTAAGACTATTGTCTAATGAAAATTATATTTATTGTTTCCAATTCATGTCGAGTGTGATACAGAATTATTTGTTAAAAATAAAATTCAATTAAATCATTTCAGTGAAAGAAATATGTGGCAAAATAACCCTGAAACATCTGTATGAAATAGCCAAAATCAAGTCACAAGATCCACCCCTTGAATGGAAATCTTTAGAAGAAATCTGCACTATGCTGATAGCATCAGCCAGGACTTGTGGTATTGAAATAGTGAAGGAGTTAGATGCAAAGGTAAAATACAGTTTGCCTATTGGTTACCTATATTCATTTTGAGAACTAGTAAAAGTGTAATTTGTCCTTTGGTAAATATTTTGATTTGATTTACTATTGTATGTGCTGAGCGAGGTTTTGGTGCTCTTATATTTTGTATGTGTATTCCTCAAGAAGCTTTTGGAGAGTACCGTCCAGTGTAATAATATTATGATACATATTGTCTCTATGTATAAAAGTGTAATGCTCTAAAATAAGATAAAAATTCATGTTTCACCATTGCATTCAATTTTATTATATTATGTTTTCAGGAATATGGAGAATTCTTAGAAGAAAGGAAGAAGATAGTGGAGGAACAGAAAAAAATGCTGCAAGAAAAACGAGAAGCCAAAATGTTAAGAACTGCATAGTATGTGATTGTTATTTATTTAATTGTAGATATTATAGTTATAGTTTCATGTTTGAACTTTCTTATTCTCTCATTTCCTCCCACATGCAGACAACATAACTTTTAATAAGGTAAACTGGTATGAAGAAAGATGTCTGTGTGATAGATGGACTTGGTTGAAAAATTAAACAATTTATGTAGTTATTTTTCGAACTAAACTTTTATTATCAAAATAATTCACGAATTACAGGGAAAATTTAGATTTTTAATAAATTTCTAATTGTGTGGCAGCAATAATGGCACCTAGTCGCAAGTCTACTTCTAAACTATTTTGTATTGACCTCCAAATATCAATATACCTACTCCTCAATGGAAAAATAAGGAAGTAGCGATTTGCATCTTATCTTACTTACAAAAATACTAATTAATTTCGAGATTTTCCCTACATTTACTTTGAATAAAAGGTCGAAGCTAAAAGGATGGTTAACAAAGGAACGGTATTATAAAAGTTAAAAACACCTATTTACAATGACTCAAAATAGTAAATAGACTTGACTATTTAGCAAGAACACTAAAAACAAATTCGAACAACTACTTATATCAATATCACATGAAAAACAGTCTCTTGAGAAAATACTATAAAGAGTACAACCAAAATAAGATCCTCCATCTCAACCTCAACAAATTGAAGAATAAATACATAATCAGATAGGTACATAATAATATGATTCATACACACATCTCAAGATACTTTGTAATATGTATAGTCTTTAACATAGAAGTTCTATATTTCAAGTAATAAAAATATACTTCTCGTATAAAAATACTTTATACTTACTTTAAACCCTTGTTTTAATGTCTTAAAATTAACTTTATAATGATAGAGATATTATCACTCGTTTCGAGAACTCAAAATAGATACACTGTACTGTATAGATAAATATCCATTCCTTTTTAAAAAAAGCTGCAAAATCTAATCATAGTAAAAAAATATTAGAGGTTCCTCAATCAAGCGATTGAGTCTAGTCAAGTAGCCTAATCTAAATATGAAAATATAAATGTGCTAATGCAATAAAAATAACATCTTTTAAAACTATGCATTATCGCAATAGACTCATTAAAACTCCGCGAAATTTTAATGGTAACTAAAAGTTGAAGTTTGTACTTTGTTCGAATACTGCTTACATTAAACCATCAGTAGACAACAAGATACACGCACAGCCCATACTTTTGTACCCACTCGCATACATTGAATCTAAGCCTCAATTGGCAAAAATAATCAAAAGTAAAACATACAAAGGTAACTAAAACAGATAAAGAATATGTCTCTTATAATGAACGTGTGACTAATAATTATCCAACATTTGTATGAGTTACATGGAGGGCCACCTCCGCGCTCCCATACAAATACGCAGGAAATCGTGAAGGCCGATTTAACAATCTTGAAATAACTTTTATCTAAAGCAATGTTTGACATTATTTTAGTACATAAATATAGTCATTATGTCAAACTTATTTTAAACCAAAAGATAATCCAATGATTGAAAATTCGACTAATATCTATCACAATCGTCATTATATGAGATGTAGGCAAGTGGTTCAAAAGTAGGAGACTGTACATAAATAAGATACACATATTCTCTCTAATACAACTAAACCGCATATTTCAAGTGGACGATTGAGATTTAAAACAGATTCTAGACAATCTACTCAAAATATGCGTGTTACCTACTGCATTATCAACAAACTTTGGGAGCAGAGCGTTTTAGCTTGGGGGAATTTGGCAGAACCTCAGGTAGCTCTGTGACATTTTCAATAGTGAAATCAGGCAAGTCTGACGATTCTTCATCCTTCTGTAAGGGGATCCATACTGTACCGCCTAGTTCTGCTTCTTTTCCGCCCTGGAAAAAGGAAAAATAATATGATTAAGAACAGGTTTGCTTACAATATTAGGTAGGTATATTATTATTGTCAATTTGTCTGTTATTTTATATTTCCCGAATAAATGAAATTTTCGTCAGTCTGTGTCAGTTATCGAGTTCAGACGATCGGATAACATTCAAAGGGAGGAAAATACAATCAACAATAATTTTACACAATGTGTTCCACCTAGGCATCGATCCTAGAACTTCGTGACAAAATAGGGACAAGGTAACATTGTATTTCTAATCGGAATATGTAATGTGACATTTATCTACCTTGATATCAGTTTCCAGCTTGTCTCCAACCATGATGCAGGTCTTTGGCTCGACGTTGAGAAGCTTGCAGGCCTCCAGAAAGATTTCCTGGTCTGGCTTCTCCCAGGGCAGGTCTCCAGACACGAGCACGCAGTCGAAGTATTTGCGGAGCCCCAGCCGTTCGATCTTCTGCCACTGGGCGCGCGAAGGCCCGTTCGTGATCAGACCCAGAAGGTAATCCTCCCTGTACCACATTCATCGACCAGCCTTTCGTTATTTTCAGCTCCACACTATGCTGTAACTCAGCACACGATATAACTCAAGGCAAATGACCTTGCAGAGATTAAATTTTCAAATTTAAACTCGTGGAACACAAACGCAATGATCTCGCATGACAGAATTTCGTAACGAATTTAATGTCATGCGCATGATCTTAATTTTGTAATTTTTCTTTAAAATTACACATATTGTTATTATGAATCATGCAAGACCACTTCAAGACTTGAATACACACAGGGTGATTTTTCACAAACAATTCGTATTATTCTACAAATTGCCAATGAAATGAATCTTACGACTATTACCATGTTGAGTGGCTTCTGATAAAAGTATATTTTATTACTGAATAAATTGTCATCTAAAAGCACTTAAGTGGAAAGCCTTTAAATACTTCAACATAGCGTGATTGTTTTAAATTAGGTAATTGTAAGACAGTTGATACATTTCCCTGTTTTTCAATGGCACTAAAGTATTTAGGGATCAATTAAAACCAATGAGTTCTCATCACTTCAAGTTTGGACTTTAGTGCTGAAACATATCCACTGTTTTACAAGAAACATTGTTGAGGTAACGGTATTACCTTCTCCGTGATGTACTCCCTCATACATTTTATAAATACAATTCAAACCTAAGTGTTGCGCACGCGGCGCCCCGAGTTTAGTCACTCGTTGAGCAACAACTGAACTGTTGAAAAACAAGTCATTTATTAGCAACATGCGCTTAAAGCCAGCTCAATACGATTGCGAAGACATTAGCAATTTTTAATTTAAACAATTTTATCCATAATGTAATTTTATTAATAATATGTAATTGCTAACTTTTAATGCCTTCCCAATACTTTGAAGCTGACTTTTATGACAGATTCTATTAATCAGTACCTGATATCCATAGTATTATGTGGCATGCATAACATCAATGAATGAAATTTGGAATAACAGAAAGACAACATGTGGATGTATGAGATTGTCTACAGTGAACGCACTGCGCAATGTACAGTGAAGTGAAGGTTGTAATAATATGACATTGATTACGATGGTATTGAAATGAATAAAACATCTTAGTGTACCACATAACACCATGCAAAGTTCAGCACGGAAAGGCCGATCCAAGATGTTACATTTTCTTATTTTTTAAACTAATTAAACAATTTTTTCTTATCCTTTAATAACATTGGCATCTTGGAACAGCCTTTCAACTAGTGCATTAGAAATTATCAATTTTTTTCTCTATTTTTATTAACATACGACTTATTCATATAATTATTAACGTACAATATTAATGAAAAAACTGAGTAATTAGAAATCCGTAATAAAAGTAGAGAAAAATGCCTGAAATTTAATCATTCTATAATATTTATTATTTTATATCATGAAGAAATATTTTTTATGGATCCAGGATAAAATTTATGTAGCCTGTTTCAAATATTTCTGCATAACATCATATTAATCGTATCAAAGAAGTATTTAACGTACCGCAGGGTCTCCAGTAGATGTATTACATCATTTGTTAATGCTAAATTTTTGAATCTCAAATTCAACCATTCTGCTGAAATATTCTCTGCAACAAAATAGAAAAAAGGATATAGTCGCGATCACTAATAGTGTTATTGCTGGAATATTTGATGCTTCTGTAAACACTTAATGGAATGCGACATTCCAGGTTAAAAAATTTTATAAAAAAAATTAAAACCGACTCCAAAAAACCTACACTAAAAAAGTAGAAAAATAATTACTAATTACCTACTTATTTATTAGGACGAATTATTAATATTTATGTAGGTATACCATGATTGATACTTAAAAAAAAAAAAAAAAAAAAAAACATACGGGTCGAATTGAGAACCTCCTCCTTTTTTTGAAGTCGGTTGAAAATAGACGACTCTCGCATTGGGAGCAAAATATTTACTATGGCTCAGGATTCGGGACGTCCCAAAATGAGGGAGATAACTGGATTTCTTTGATAAATTAATAATTCTTAGCCAACATAATAAATTATAAAAAATAATATTTAGTTTAACAGATTACTTAATTAACTGTCGTCATTAGTTATGCTGCAATCGTGTTGGTACCTAATTACCTAAACCGCAGATTTTTCTAAAAAATGTGGGTTAAATTTCATAATTGCAGAACAACAAACAATAAAATAGCAGTCTACATTGAAACAAGGGCACCGGGCCAAATCCTTGGAGTCATAAAAAATAGCTAAAGTACCTAAAACTCAGTTTTATGACGTTATTCTTCATTCACATGTGCGTAGGAGTTGTTTATAACTAGTCATGAAATCATTTTGCAGATAAAACCAACGACATCCATAATGTGGTCGAAAAGTTGGCTCCAATTCTTTTCTTTTAATATTTTGACTTTAAGTACGTAGGCTTTATTCAGTTTTGAATACTCGACTCGTAAAACTATATTCAAAGTTGTCGCAGATTACATTATTGAAGACTAGCTTTCCGCCCGCGGCTTAGCCCGCGTGGAATTTTGTCTGTCACAGAAAAACTATCGCGCGCGTCCCTGTTTTAAAAACCGGGAAAAAAACTATCCTATGTCCTTTCCCGGGACTCAAACTATCTCTGTGCCAAATTTAATCAAAATCGGTTCAGTGGTTTAGACGTGAAAGTGAGAGAGACAGACAGACAGACAGAGTTACTTTCGCATTTATAATATTAGTATAGAGGTATAGATTTATATTTAGCAACATAAAGTTTGAAGAAGAAAGCGGCCTATACCCTGGCCCTGGGCTTCGTAATAATATGTCATAAGGTCATACGTCACAAAGCCCACAATATTGTGTAAATGTGGTGACTTGTCTGTTGTTGTGACTAGTAATTGCTTTTAATTATAGCTTCATTGTGACAAAGGAACACAAAAGTGGGAGGGAGTAGGGAGTATGCACATGCTGACATCCTAGGCACATTGCCAAGGAGTAAACATGATTCGGCGAAGTTGTAATTATGATGAAGAAGTAGAAGAGATTTGTTGCTCACTGTGTCGCACACGTGAGGTCTACCCACATTAAAACGTGATTAGTTTCATCAAACGTTTAGGTTGATAAGAGATGTAATTAGTAGTACGGTTACGTCACAGAAATATAAGCTCACACGAATGAGTGCGTATTTTCGTAGAGACGGACAAGTTCTTTGCAGACGTTTTAAGCTGACATATATAGTATAATAGATATTAAGTAAAAAGTACTACTTTCATAAGAAGGCTCAAGGTCACCCAAAGGGCGATGGAGCGGGCTATGCTCGGAGTTTCCCTGCGTGATCGAATCAGAAATGAGGAGATCCGCAGGAGAACCAAAGTAACCGACATAGCTCGCAGAATTGCTAAAATCAAGTGGCAGTGGGCGGGGCACATAGCTCGTAGAGACGATGGCCGTTGGGGCAGGAAAGTTCTCGAGTGGCGACCACGGGCTGGAAGACGTAGCGTGGGCAGGCCTCCTACTAGGTGGACCGACGATCTGGTAAAGGTCGCGGGAAGAGCCTGGATGCGGGCAGCGCAGGACCGTTCATTGTGGAAAACCTTGGGGGAGGCCTTTGTCCAGCAGTGGACGTCATTTGGCTGAAAAAAAAAAAAAAAAAAAAAAAAAAAAAAAAAAAAGGCCTTTGTCCAGCAGTGGACGTCATTTGGCTGAAAAGAAAGAAAGAAGAAAAAGTACTACATCCTTTCGCATGAAAAACTACATTTGAGACTAACTCTTGTAGGTACCTACCACCCAAGGCCCAAGGGTATTTGGCAGAAGCTTAAACAATTTTTCATGACACAGGCAGCGATGTATTTATTTCATTCTATTTCTGTCTAGGTAAATAAGATGAAGAGAGATTTAATATATTTGATGAAATAAAGGGCACATCCGTGTGTTTACATTCACACATTTGAAAATTAGAACTTTATAGCGTACTTCATAAGGTACAAAATATCATTATCTGTTTATGTTTCATTTAAAACTTGCAATATTATGAAGAGCAGATGTAAAGGATAAAATTAGATACCCAATAATATTGTTGATACTGTAACATGTATCCGAACATAAGCTGAACTTATCATATTTTATGTTTTTTTTTGTATTGTAACGACGCGATCTAAGAAGATGGAAGGCGAAAGTGCTGCCACCACTATATTTTTTTTTTGTAAAGGCGAACTCTTAATTTAGAGAGACACTAGGATACAATTTAGTTTATCGATAAAAATGTTGTGTTAATAATACAGATACATTAATTAAATAATAATATTGCATAATATTCGGTAGCAAAGTCATTGTAGCAGCACTGTCGCGGGGGCAATCGCCTTTATAAGTTCTGTTTGTTTCACTCTGGAATGTTATCTTTTATTTATATTTGGTAATCTACGAACTACCAAAATTAAATAACAAATTACTAAATAAATGTTGTTCGTAATATCGTAATTCGTGTCAAACAAATACAGCGCTACAGATAACAAGTTAGGTACATACTACGCAGAAGATTAACGCAAATAAATCAAAAATATTGATCCAAATTCGTCAACATTAGGACCAGTCTCTTATATCGTTTAGGTGCATTTAACAAAATTAAACGGCACCGTATCGGTGCCTTCCGTGTAAACTATAGTCACAGATAATTGACAGGGTATAAGTTGGAGACTACTGAATAATCTCGTTACATTATTGCCGTGAATCATTACAGTAAATAATAATACAGTTAAACTTCAATGCAGTGATCATTACTTAGAGTTCATTAGTATAATTGGACCACATTGATAAAATTGTACATTCGTAAATAAATTTAAGAATGTCAACACGCCTGTGTAACAAAATTATGTATGTCTATCTGGCTTAGTGGTTGATGTAATATAAATATTGCGGGTTCGATCGGCAACTCGGCGTAAAATACGAGTACCTACACATTGTGTGCATGATTAAACTTATCTGCTTATTCATCTGGGTGTTTCCTATGTATAAAGGTGAACGCGCACCTGTCCGCGCCGCAGTCATCGCACTTTATATGAAATAGTATAGAGCATCGCGCACCTATCCGCACCGAACGCCGCACATTTTCCTAAAATGCTGTAGGTATACTGACTTCACAAGCTGGCGGCGAGTGCGATGCCGGCAAGTGCGCAAGGCTATGAAAATGCGAGGACTGCGGCGCGGACAGGTGCGCGTCCACCTTTAATGAACGTATGAAATTCTTGGGGGAGGTCACTGTCCACCAGTAAATGTTAGTAGGTACATTTTAATGGCTTCCCCAAGGTTTGGCTGATGATGAAGTGTATGAAAGTACTCACTTGCGATATGCCTGTAGTTCTTCGGCAGCGAGTTGCGCCAAAGATGCGCGGGCCACTCGTCAAGCGCGAAGGAGTCATCATCAGGCCGCGCCCGGAACGCTCGGAGGAACGTCGTGGCGCTTTCCACAGCTGTCTCTTGAGGCAGCCCGTACTCTTGCTGCAGAACTTCCACTAGCTGGAAATTGGATGAAATTATCTTGAAATTAAAATTTAAAGAAAAAAAAATATTGTGGGTAGAAGGCGGAAAATGGACAACTGTCGCGGAACTTGCAGGTAGTTCTAATAAGTACAAGTAGTGTTAATTATTCCTATAAAAAATATGCCTGAATAACATGCAATGCCTGAAAAAGCACCTGTTTGCGTGAATTAAATTTAACACACTATTTCTGGGTTATTCAAGTATGACGTAAATAACACCAGAGCCAATTTAGGGCTTTTAAATCCAATTACTAGTGGCATCTCCAAGGAAGTATCTCTAGTCCAGGAATAGAAGGGGTCAACGTTCCGCGGTCGGCTCGTTCACTCACCTGCAGCGTTGGCACAGCTCCGGCTCTGTAAGCTGATACGCGTCTTTCACAGCTACTATAGTGTTTTTCCTACTACCTACATAAAGTGAGTTTTTCTCTGGTAGACATTTACATGTGTTGATACTATTAAAGCAGTCTAGTGCTTGCTTTTGGTGTTGTGAATTATGTTAACTACATGACTGTGTGCACTGTGCATATAGGGTGTGTGTTCTTTATGTCCTTGAAATAGCAGCTTTCTATAAACTATTCTACTAATGTTTAAATAAAACTTTTTGATAGTTGAAAAACTTCTTTATTATTATTTTTTATCATCCTTTTATTACATCAATAACAACATTAAAAAAGTGGTCAGATATAGCTTATAGCAGACATTAAAATGTTTTTGAAACCTATCTAGTAAGTACATTTATTTACAGTGTAAAATATGTGTTATGATGATGTATGAAAACATGTAAGATTGTGTAGAAGAAAATAAAAAAAATTAAGTACTTTTGCTAAAAAAATGAAAAACAATTATTTATTAACATAAGAAAAGTAGGCATACAATCAAAATTGCAAGTTAGTACAACATTTAGTCTCCAAACAACTTTTTTCCCAAATCCATCAACCTATGATTTCTGCACATCTTAAGAGCTCCACCTTTCTTTAGGACAGGGATAGCACCTTCATTTGAGTCTACAAGTCTACACAAGAAGTCTTCAAATGCAGATTTCACATTGGGAGGTAAAGTGCCAACTTTGACTTTAGCGAGCATTTCAGCAATGCCTGCAGCCCATCCACTCTCTATGGCAAATTCAGATATCCATGGCACCATTGTTAGGACACCGCTCATAGTTTGCATACCCAGGAACCACAAATCTGCTATTTCATTCCAATGTTCTCTGTATGACATTGACACTACCAATGCTGTGGGGTCATTAGATTCATCAATGTTGTAAGCATCCCAAAGGAATCTAATTGTTGACTGAATGTATCTGCATATTGAGAAGTCATTCTTTTTGACTTTGCTTGCTTGTTGTTTGAGCAACAAAAGGCCTAATACAGCCAAGTGCCCATGAAGAACAAGGTTGTCAGGGATGTCCTTTAATTCTGGTAAATTGTTAAAAATGAATTTCAGAAGAGTATTGAACAACATACTGTTCTCTACTACTTTTGGAGCTAGCACTGTAAGGTTCATGAAAATATTGCAAAGGCTGACCATAGCTGCTCTAGAATCTTTCATATCTTCTAAGACTTTGGGATCAAGTTCAGGTTCAGGTTGAGTCTTCACCTTGCCCCTTTCTGACTTTGGCACTGGAGGTTTTTTGTAATGTACAATGGACCAATGGAAGTTCATGGCCTCATACAAAATATCTTCTTGTTTTAAGTTTAATACTATATCTCTGGCCTTATCCTCAACAACCAAGTGGCAGAGAGCAGGCAACATCAAACGCAATAAATCAATCTGTCCCATAAGACTGGTATCGGTGTCCATCGGTTCACCTTCTGATTTATTTTTTTCGGCCAGCTTCCTAGAGCGGTATGCATGGAACGAGTCATTTGCCAGTGAAAACATGTAAGGAAGTAGGACATAAATCTGTTCTCTCATAGCTGTGGTCTCTTGGGCGATCCATGCAACTAGTACTCTCACCATGGCACAAACAAAAACTTTTTCAGCATCTGGCAATTTATCTCTGTTCTTATCATTTGACACTTTTGTCAAAATGGATACAACGGCATTGAATGCACCTTTTAGACTAGTGTAAACAGATTGCTTTTCTTTCTGTTCCAAATCAAGTTGGTCGGTAGCCATGTAGTTAATTGATAACTCTAGCACAATAAAGCAAGAGGTAACTAAATCACAGTTAGAAAATGCCTGTTTGAAACTTCTATCTTCCAACTGCATCCTCACTTCAATGGCACACAATTGCAGCAACAAGAGGAAGAATTTCTTGGGGTTTTCTTCTTCACCACATTCTATGGCCCACTCAACACCTAGCAAATCAAGTATGTTTGCAGCTAATTTCAGAGCAGGGTCTCTTTGGTTCTTTCCAATCTTGCTGGTAAGAATATCATGCAGTGCTTTGTAAATGCTTTGAGGCCAAGTTTCATCTTGGGAACTCGGGACAACAGTTGTTTTGTTGCAACTATAAAGTAAGGCACTCAGTATAGTGGCCAATTCAAACTTCCTTTCAGACTGATCGGTGGCAAAGTCCAGAGCAATCTTGTTGACCAAAGCATGGAATGGTTTGGGGTCGTTTCCCCAGGCAGCGGGACCATATCGGCTCACAAGTTTTACCAGGATATTAAGGGCTTCATCTGTTTGGAAACTTTGATGTGAGTAAATTTCTGACATTTTGGTAATGGCACCAACTTCAATAAGTGCTTTTTGGCCAACTTCATGTTCTGCGATGCATTGGAGACATGTGTATGCTTCACTGATGATGATGAGGTTATCATCGTAATCATCATTGTCAGATGTTTGCACAATATCGAGAAAAACTGGAATATTCGCTAACATTTCAGGGTGGGTTGATAGTTCAGGGTCATTGCAGAATGTTGTGAGGATTGAAAGTGCCACTGATTTGTACACAGAGGGTGGGCAGTCATCTTGCACACTGTTGCTGGTCAGGAGTTTCTTCAAGAAGTTGAATCCAATGGCTTCAAACAGAGCTTTCTTGGCCTGGGAGTTGCAATCCTTGCTCTTCACCAGTTTGGTCACCATGAAGAGCGCGGCAAACTTCTCGGTGTCGCTTTTCGCGGACTTGAGAATGAGCACGCATTTTTTAATTGGCTCCGATATGTCACCCATTGTCACAAACTAAACACTGGTCGATGCGATCACAAAGCGCAGCAGTTCGCGCTCCACTGAGCGCAGGGTGCCGCAGTTGAATCGTCTGACGGCGGCTCGATCTACATCACGTTTATAATTAGCGCGGACTCTCTTCCAAAATATCTAAATCTGGACGTCGAGCTCACGTTCTCCAACTATGAAATCTATTTATAACCCCACACTGGAACGCTCAACACGCGATGTAACGAACAAGCAAAACTATCGAGGACCGACACAACGACGTAGAAAACCTGCGATGACAGCGCGCGCACTTCGTTCCGAACTTTCATCCATGACCGTGGCAATGTCAAACGATTAAAAATTAGTCAAAAATTACCTTATTGCATGTTCTCGTGTCCGCCTTTCTTGTCTGGATTAATGTGTTGTCCAAGTCGAAGAATATGGCTGAAACATCACTATTTTCGCTGTAAAAAGCACCAGCCATATTTTACAAGTCCGCACAGCACAGTTCAATTCAGAAAAAAACACTTTGGTGAAGGAAAGACAAACGTCACAAGAAAACATGTCATGACGAAATGTCATATGACGCACCACGAAATTCGTGGTTATTAAGTCGTGCTTTCTTCCTCTAACACACTAGTAGCGCTATTTACTATCTCATTTTTGGTAGTATTGTGAATTACTGCCATCTAGGTGAACATAACGCAAATAGATCCTCGCACTGCTTGAAAAAAAAAAGTAATCAAACGCTGTTTTGGACATGGCAACATCTTGCCTCAGTTTCAAATAATAAAACTAGATGGCACTATTTTCAAGTCGCGTAAGAAGAGTGCGGAGAAAACTAAAAACCATTTTCTTAGAAGGAAAATAAAATGATAACACAGGAGTACGTGCATTCTGGTTAAATTATTAAAATAAAATAAATATTATTAAAAAAAAAAACTAAGGTTAAGGATTAAACATTTTAAGCTCAGTGTAATAGAAATAGGGGATTTTTGTTTAGAAATGTTAAGTAATGTAGAGATTATAGGTAGTAGTCTGTAGGTTGTATTATAGTCTACCAGCGTTGCCAGTTTTTTTTTTCGCCAAGTCGGGACTTGGGTACTTTTTGAGTGAAAATAGCGGGATTCTTCCGTCAGAAGCGGGACATAGTAAAAAAACGTATAATATCAAAGGTTTTCAAATATTTATCTTTTTATTTGACTTAAAATTACGTTTACGTGACAATAGATAGCAAAAGTAGCTATAGAAAATGTATTTTAACAATAAAAATAATATTTTAAATCAGATTTAGTACGTACGCCACGTACGGTCGAGTTCTCTCCGAAAAGCGGGACCGAGCCTGTCCCGCGCGGGACATTTAAATTTGATTTAAAAATCGGGACGTCCCGCCAAAATCGGGACGTCTGGCAACGCTGTAGTCTACCTACATTGAAGGAGCGACATAAGTATGTACTTACTTACCTACTTAAATGTTTTTTGTCACCTACAAAATTGTTTTCTTAGATGACACACTCAGATCATAGAAGGGAATAGATGTGAAACGGGGGCGTGGCGCGTGTCTCCGCGATATGCCCAGAAACGAACATCGGCCGCGACGCCAGGTTAGTCGCGATTCAGTCGTACTGAGGAAATGTTCTCCGATATTGTTGGATAATGCGTCGTAACGTGCAATAACATAAGTGAAACGAAGAACTACAGGAACAATGAAGTCATTTACCACATGTAAGTATTGCAAATCCATTGGTATTTTGCTTATAAATAAAAAAAACTAAACATTTTTACGAACGAATTCAGTGCCGTGACATTTACTGCGATATCGAAATTAGTGGTGATAAAAATTCAAACACGTTGTACATTGACGATTTAGTTAGCAACCACTTTATATAACGTATAATAATAAAAAGGTTTTCATACAAGCATTTTTTAAACCAATTTCGAGCCTTGCCCCCAGGATTTAAAGTATCGATATCTTATCGACTCCATTTTATCTTTCTTCTCTCTAATTGCTTTTTTCAAAGTGTGCGTCACGTCACGCGGCCATTGATTGGCCATAAGGCACGCCTTCTGGCCAATCACAGCACTTTTAAGCCGGTTGCACATGTTGTCGTAGACTCTCAGTCGCTTTGTTTTTACACAGTTGAATGTGTGTGTGGGAGCTGTGGTGGGGGAAATGTGGGGACACTGGTTCTCGTTGTAGTTACGCGCGACTTCATATCTATTCTCTTTCTATGATCTGAGATGACACATCGTTTTCGGTTTTTGTAGTGCGGTGGCGAGTCCGCCATACAATATAGGGTGTGTTTAGTAAGTATTAGGTACCCGAAGTAGGAATAATACCCGTGAAGATCTTTACGGTAGAGAAAACCCTGTTATTCTATTTGGTATTTTCGAGTTGTAATAATTTTAAATTCTACTTAATATTTTTTTTACACAATTTGGTTCGAGAAGTTTACAAAAAAAATATATTTTTAAAGTAACAGGAAACTGCCAGCCCCATGGATTTGCGGAACTGGAGCTGGGCTGCAGAGCAGACGCTTCTAGTGGTAGATGATGATGGTCGTTCGTACTCTTCTATTACTGGATTACTGGGACATGCGAAACTGATCATGCTCCTGGTAGTTAAGTCTACCTAATGCCAGAAACGTAACTGTAAAAACGTATCAAGTCATCTAGTCACCCTGTATAAACCTCCGAGCAACATATGAAAGTAATATGAGGAGCCAAGGATGAGTTACGATCAAGGGACATGTCATTCCACGAACAGAGAAATTCTTTTATCAACATTGTTTCGCCGGATAACACGCCTTCGCGGGCAAAAGGTTTTTTTCATAACGGCCGTAAGCACATGCCATTAGGTACTTACTACAACAAGAATTTGCGATAAATGTAGGTACCTAGTAATTAAAGGTACAGTAAGTAATATAGCATAATCCTAATTTATACTTAGTAATTAATGGTACATGTAATATAAATCATAGTAGATACTCTTAATTTAAATGATTGTCATAGAAAAGGTTTTGAATTTTACAAGTTTCAAATAACTTCAGCAAGAAAATTATGATTAAACCAACTTTTATTGTAACCAATAACTGGATGTGTATCAACTTATCTCAGTTATTCAGTTCACCTTATTCACAAACGTTTTTCAGGAAATTCAAACATACAAACTTATTATTTGTTTAGAAAACATGGCATTAGGCAAGTACCTACCTCACCCGTAGCAGGTAGGATGAGTGCTAGTAAGCAGTAAGTACCTTTTTACCCGGCTCAGACCTTTTAGTTTTTGTCCAATCTTATCATCCATAAGTACGACTGCGGAGTATAGATGCTTATATTCAGGCATTCGGGATAAATTGAGGTGAGCCCGCAAGCCAATTTCGCCGACGTCTTTTTTGTAAAAATGTTCTATTTCCCTCGCAGTTTGCAGTAGAACAGATGGGGGACAAAGAGATATTAACAGGGCAGCTCTGGAGTACAGAAAAGGGACAAGCAGGGGCGATTGTGTAAGAAATTTATACGTGGCACTCGTTCAAGGGTTATTAGATTTCCTGTCACACGCAAGCCACCCGCAGACCGAGGGTATTTGCCAAACATTGCCGGCCAATGCCGATCCCACCAAAAACATTCTGTAAAAAACTAGCCAAGTCTCGATGGAGCTGCTTGTTTATCTCTAAAAAGTAATGAAATCTAGACAAAGTCGTGCCAAGTCTATGGTTCCTTACTGCGATTTCTTTATTATTATAGTTAATGTTGTGTGACTTGGCCGTTGAAGGGTGACAAAACCAGGTGCTCCATGACACCATTGCATCAATCTGTCGCCAGAACCGCTACCCATTGACGATGGAAAATTGCCACTTGGAAAACGTTGATTTAACAATAATCAGTCAATTGTAGGTTTAGTAAAGCTGCGTATTTATAATACTTATGTATGATTATCTTAATAAAGATTGTTCAACGGCCAAGTCACACAACATTAACTATAATAATAAAGAAATCGCATAAAGGAACCATAGACTTGGCACGACTTTGTCTAGATTTCATTACTTTTTAGAGATAAACAAGCAGCTCCATCGAGACTTGGCTAGTTTTTTACAGAATGTTTTTGGTGGGATTTCACTTCTTTTTGTAGAACGTGGCAAAATTATTTAACGTCGTCGTTTTATCGACTTTTTTTACGATATTAAACACAAATAAACTCAACGACCTTTAAAATGGACAACGAATCAGAATTGTTTTAATAACATAACCTTAGCGAACCTTACAATATAATAAACGAAATCAACGAAATGCAAATTACACAACATTCAACTTAATCGACGATTTTCTCTAGGAAGGAAAAAAATGTGGACACCGCTTGCTAGTGCTAGCGCCATCTAGCGGTGAGCGATACAGGCGAACACCACGGTGCCAGAGTAGTATTGATTATGAATGTGGTGTTACTCCAGATCTTCGATTTTCCTAGTTTTTATAGTTTTCCCTTTATGTGGCCATTAAACCCTAACTCTGTACCAAATTTCAGCTCTCTGAGTTTATGGGAAGTACTAGTTCTATTTTGATGATCATCAGTGAGTGAGTGAGTGTCGTAAATGCGAAACTTTGCTTTCGCTTAACTTCGGAACTAAATGACCTACAGACTTGAAATTTTGGATTTTAAGTATGTGATTATAGCTTACTAGATGACGAAAATTTCTGCGTTCTGGTCTTATCCAGAGGTTCTCAAATAAGGGCCTGAAAATGCGTCGAAATGGTTCCAGTAAAGGATGGTACGGCAGTGTTTGCTTCGCGCTCGACTTGGCGGGGGCACTACCGTGCCCCCAGATTTCTTGCGTAAACATTTTGTGAGGTCATTATACTTTCTTGTTGGACTTTTTTGCACGAACCGTTCCCTGCGTATGCCTACAACTAAATGGAATTTCGTGGATGGGTGCTTGTCTTTTTCATACTCAAATGTTGGTAACCCGGAAAAAGAGTTTCCTTGAACTCTACATCATTAGGCGTCTAATTGTAGTCTCAAAAGGCAATTTACTGTTCGTATGTCGAAAATAAAATGGAATGGTTCAATGTTTTTAAAGAAAAATGAACGTAACATAGGTACCTATCTACTAAGTTGTTACCGTCTAAGGAGAGACCGGAATCTTTTTACTTACCTATTTAATAATGTTCCCACAGGCTAGCTATTAGAAATTATTATACCCGTGACCTGTGCATTCATTTGAAGTCGCGTTGCGTCCACCATTGTATTCTTATCGGGCCCTTAAACAGTGCGAGGGTGGAAGCGCCCCCTCGCGGCAATTAACTTGCGATGCTCATTAGCAGACCGTTTTCATTCGGAGTCCGTAATCCGACCGGCTTGAAGCAACTTTCTTTGGAACACCTCGATTTACTGTATCACGTTTCTGTTAATGTGCTGACGGCCGCTCGCTACGCAGCCACCATTGTGATTTCCACGGCTTTCACGACCAACTATTATGTCTCTGTTTAGTGGAATTGTCCCTTTTAGCTCCGCATTTAGAAGGTAATAACGTAATTAGCACGTTACTGTGCCCGTCTGTTCCTCAATTGTTT